AGAACACTTTAGATAACTTATTCCTTATTTTTTTACCTTATCGGTATTTTTAATCGCAGTTCGATTTGCAAGACAAATTTAGTGATTACTGTGGTATAAAACTGATGTCATGTTTGTTGAAATGAAACATAACAAAACTTTTTTTTATCAAATAAGAGGTTAAGGGTCTGTTTCACAATGTATGGATAAAGTGCCAAATAGCTATGCAACACATAAATTATTTGGAAGATAATTATTGTGCCATTTGACACTTCATCGGACTCATAACTTATGATGGACTTTATGTGACGAATAGCGCTATAGACTTTATTTGACAGTTGTAAAACGCAAGAATAGTGTTTATCCTACCAATAAGTAATAAATAGCTAATTTGGAAATGTAGTTATTCTAAATACGATATTTTATAAACTTTAATATTACGTAAATAAAATAATATAATCTTTTAGTTACGTTAACTGCGGCCAAGAGGTTTCTGTGTGTTTAGTAGTAGTTTTTGAAGTATGAATATTTTACATTTTCATTTTAATTTAGACTTTTTAAAATTATAGTAATATTACACATACTTATCCATGGTAGGATGATAAATAATCCATAGTACTTTTGCCACGTTGAGACTTTTGGTTCAGGTGACATTTTAAACGGAAATATACCAAAGAAGCGGGAAACTCGGCAAACGTATTTAAATACACCATAATAGCCCCACTCTTCTAATGTGGAAGCCATTTTGCTTCTAGGAAATATAAACATTTAATATACAAAACTAATTAAATAAACTATTATACGATAAATCAATAGATGCATATAAAACATTAATTCAATGCTTTACTGGACAAACGCCGTGCCTACACTTGTATAGATGGGGCTTCACAATAAAATAAAGATGGCAAGCCTTGGAGGAGACCTTAACCGGAGAGGATTCCTGATATAAACTAACTGAAAAAAGAAATTACTAACGCATAGGATAATTAGATATTATTAAGATTAGTTACAGTTTATAAGTCATCTAAAATGATATTTACTTAAACAATAATAAATTCCATTATAAACAGTCAGCTCCTTCGGTACCTAGAGGAGCACCAGGTAACTAGTAACCGTTAGTACGGCCAAGGTCACTCAGCTGGTGATATTTAAGGTTACTTCACACACAGATGGGCTGAGGCGGTAGAGTTCAAAAAGGAGGCTAGTGTTAGTGGCCACTAAACTATTAAACATTGCGAAAGCCTACGATCGCTTTTGCCACAAGCGAATTCTCTCAAAACTTCCGGCTTATTGACAATTGAAATTGTGCGAATAGTTGCTCTAGATTTTTAGCTCATCGGAATATCAAGGTCACTGTCGACGGTGCGTGTTACGACTTAGAACCAATAAATACTAATATGTTGCAGTAAAGCAACGTTTATTGCTATGCGGATGACAGATAATAATATTCTCGATCTCGTTCAAACATGTGTCTAAAATCGAGACCATTTTACAAGGTGTCGCAGACTGGGGATGACTTAATTTAGCTGGTTTCCTCACCTTTTTTTATGACATTAATCACGGGAAGTGCCCTCCAAGTATCATGAAAGAGACCTGGAAGGTCGGCAACACACCCGCTAGACCCCGTGATTGCAGGCGGGGGTTATCACTATATTTAAAGTGACCCAACTACTCGTTTGCTCCTGTCCTTTAAAAAATGAGTATTACTTTATGGGACTGGGAAATGGGAAATTTTATTGATGTATTTTATAATAAGCTGAGAATCCCTTGTGATGTGCAGAAGTGGGGGCTAATTGATTTAACAGCTCTACTCGCGGGTAGACAACGAATATTTTCAATTTCGTCAAAACCATCTCCGATAATTATTCCACGTATGTGGAATTTGTTACGTTCACGTCTACGTGCCGTACAAGGGATGAGCGCTGAATGAACAGTATATTTAGTAATTAAAAACGAAATAAGGTCTTCGAACAGTATTAATTGATGACTATTAACCGGAGTATTCCAGTACAATTTAAGTGTCAGGAAGAAATTGTATGTTTTTTTCACAATATTTTTTGAAATTTGAAGCATTATCCACACGAAGGTACTAGCGGACTATAGACTATTACTTAAAAATATGTCATTTAAAATTCTTAAATAATAAGTAAATACCTATTTACCAGTTCTCCAGTAGTTAAAATGTAGCTTTTCGTAGCACTTTCGTAGCACTGCACAAAGTCTACGATGCATTGCGTTATATTTAGGTAAATGAGTTTATCAAAGTCAATAAATCTTGTTTAATGTATGTCTGAATAATTATTACAAACCATCCTAATGTATATTTAATGAGATTGACATAGTTGATTTTATCTATACGTTACTTTAAAGTAATTATATACGCGGTACATGTGACGCCCATTAAAATTCTGAATATAAATTTAAGTATGTTTTACTATTTCTTATCAATAAAACATCGTCTAACCCCCTTCGACACAAAAAGGTCACAAAGCATGCGAAAAATTAACGGAAAAAAATTGTTTTGGATTTGGTCCCCTCGGATTGGAGTCTACCTGTGACCTCAGAATCTTTCGACCGACCTTAGTAACGGTTTAGATTATATAGAAAACTAATTTATATATATTCTTAGAAATCAGAAGCGGTATATATTAAAAAAAAAAACTTTAGAGGTGTCAAGGGACACCCGGATGGAACGAAATTCCTTTCGATTAATTTATATGTTAATTGGTATCATAACAGTATGATAGATTATCTCGACACCAATCTTACGACGAAAAAAAAAGCCAACATCACGAGGTGTTCCCAGGCGGTCACTCATCCAAGTACTGACCTCGCCCGACGTTGCTTAACTTCGCTGATCGGACGAGAACCGGTTTATTCAACGTGGTATGGACGTTGGCGATAGCTAAATCGAAAATGTAAAATATAACAACTATAGCAAAAAGTGTCGTTACAACTTTTGGTCTTAATTTATTCCGTCTAGCCCCCTTTCGCAACGCTCGATAACTTCATTCCAACAAGACTAATTTAGTTAAGTGATTCCAAAAATAATTTTCATTTCTTATCCCTACAAAAAAAAAGCCAACATCACGAGGCGTTCTCAGGCGGTCACCCATCCAAGTACCGTGATCGGACGAGAACCAGTGTATTACAATAGCAAATAGCAAAAAAGTGTCGTGACAACTTTTCGTAAGAATTTTTTCCGTCTAGCCCCCTTTCACAACGCGCGTAGGGAACTTCGTTCCAACAAAGCACACTCAAACTCAAACTCAAAATATCTTTATTCATGTTGGTAAACAAGTACACTTATGAATTGTTTACATTTACTACCAGTTCGCAAGTCAAGGGCGTAGAGCGGGTAAGAAGAACTGGCAAGAAACTTTCCGCCACTCTTTTCAATCGACAAAAATAATAATTAACACAACTAAAGGCCGAATCTAATACACAGCATACAGGCCAGTCATTATAGACATTCGAAATCGAAAATTTGATAATAATTCCAAAAGTTTTCAAACTTCGGTCAAGTGAATGGTACATTGGGACGACAATAAATCTCATTTTGCAACCTTGTCCGCAGTCCGGAACATTGTTAAAATTGCAATTAAATTAATTTTATGTCTGTATGGTCGTGAAAAAAATTCCAAAAGTTCTGCAAACTTGGGGAAGTTTTCGATATAATATTTCATATCACGTACAGTCAAAACCGTTTATAACGACATCGTTTACAACGACCTATCGGTTATTACAACCAGATTGTATGGTCCCGTCCGAATCCCTAGTAAACTGTTCAGTAAAGAAACCGCTTATAACAACATCGGATACAGCGACATATCGCTTACAACGACGAAAGTTTATCGATATTCATCGGATATAACGACCAACCGCTTCTTGTCTCAGTAAAACAAAACAATACAAACGATTTTAAATTTTATTTATAAGCATTGAATGAATATTTAGGCATATTATTACCTACGCACTTTCTCCCAACGAACAGTTTCAGCCAACAACGATTTCCGAGGCTCTTAACGCTGTAACGATTTTGCAAAAATTTGTTGCCTTTAACGAACAGTTTGATACTGGTGATACTCATACCTTGAAGAGTATGAAACGTAAAATGCAAAAAATATTTGAGACTGGGCTAAAAAAAACACAGACTGACTGATTACTTTTGTACCTAATTATTTCGTAATAAATATTTTTGTTTCTTTTTTGACTCGTTTACATATAATAATATTAACATACCATATTATAACCCATACCTACCTATTCTAGATCGATAACTATGTACATACATATGTACTGTACTTGTGTATATGACATTGCTTATAACGACTATCGGATATAACGTCGGCAACTATACGGTCCCTTCAATGTCGTTATAACCGGTTTTGACTGTATAAAATTTGCAACCAACCTAAGTGTACGGAACATTTTTTGTTATTTATTTTATTTTCGATATATCTGTCAAATTTGCAGAACTTTTGGAACGTTTTCCTTCAGTTTAATAAAGAACAACATTAATTAAATAATGTTCCGTACACTTAAATTGGTTGCAAATTTGACACGTGATGTAAAATAATATATTTAACACCACTCCAACTTTGCAGAACTTTTGGAATTTTGGTCTCAAGAACTAAGCAAATTATCATTTATTGCATTTTTAACAATGTTCCGGACCGCAGAGCAGGTTGCAAAATTTTATAGTTTGTTTTAATACCACTCCCGACCTTACATCAAAATTTGAAAACTTTTGGAATTATTATAAATTAATTGTCTTGACTGACTAAACACAACCGAGACGTCCGTCACGCCCCGTCGTGGATATTGCTACACACTCCCTCTAGAGGGGTGTGTTTTTTCCCGTTCGGGGCTATGCCCCCTTCGGGTGAAGTGGTGGCTCGCGCCCTGCTGATACAGGGCGGTACGGGGTCGACCGTTTAGTTCTTGGTGAGGGCTGCAGCGCGCAAGGAGACGTTGGCCTCAACTCGCTGCGCGCAGCCGATGGGGTCTAGTCCGGAGTGTCAAATCCGGTGGTTTGGGGCCAACGAGTATTGTCGTCTTGGCCCTGGTGTCTTGATCGTTGATTTCGGGCAGCTGCGCGGCTCGCGGTCAAGCTCCGCCGGGTGAGACCCCCGGTGGCCCCGGGGGAGGCCCACCGAGGCGATCCCCTTGGTGAGCCGTGCGACGAACTCGTCGATGGACTCCATCCTCAAGTCTCGCGCTATGGTGGCGTTCCTAACGTAGCGGGGGGCCTCCACTGCGCGTCGTAGATTGATGTTTGTAATCGCTATGTTTGAATCCGCCGTGTCCTGCGGCTTCGTTTGAGCCGTCACATGGGGGGGTGCGAGGGGCACCGTGGTAGGCGCCATGCTCATGGGCGAGGCGATCATCGCTATGTTCAAAGCCGCCGTGTCCTGCGGCGTTGTTAGAGCCGACACATGGAGGGGTGTGGGGGGCGCCATGGTAGGCGTCATGCCCATGGGCGCATCCGCCAGGCGACGACGACGCGGTGCCTGCGGTTGCGGTATCGTATCTTGTATATTAATATTATGTTGTGTATTTATGTTAGGTGGCGTCGTCTGCGCACAGACACGCTTGGGTGCCGTCCCGGCGGCGTCCTCATCAGAGTCCGGCGGCGGCGGGCGGCGTAACGAATAATTATGCGCTCGCCTAGCTTCGGCGAGCGTATTATGTTCGTCACTGGATAAAGGTGACGTTAGTATACCCTGCTCTAAAAGGCGCCTGCGGGTCTGCGCGAGATATTCGCACATAGCTCGTGCGAGCCCGTCCGTAGCGTACCGGCCTATGAGAGTCTGCGCAACAAAAAGCGCATCCATCTCATAGCCGGCTCGCGCGGATATGGGCTGCGATGGCCGCAGGTCACCTTCCAGGTACGCGAGCAACTCTTCGGGGTCGCGCCCATGAGCAGGGTTATCACTTTGATATGTATGTAAATCAGTACTTACTAGGCTTTGACTTATTTGGTGCATTTGAGGTCGGTGCGGGGTGGCGACAAGGGCGCTCTCGTCGTCCGCATGACGCGACGAGAGCTGCGACCTTAAATCGCTTCCGCTAGCACTCGATCGTTCCTCGTTATCACTATCACAAACATTAATCACTACACCGGTGACCTCGGGGTCAGTACGCAACATATGATAATCAATAGTTATTTCCTCAGCAGGGGAGGGGTTGTGGGGGACTGCTGCGACGGGGTATACGCCAGCCGTATACCGCGACGAGAGCTGTTTACTTAAATCACTTTTAAAACCGCTATCTTCGGCTCCCGGTCCCGGGGCTCGATCGCTACGCGAGCGAGAGCCACTCCTGGACCGGTCTGCCATAGGCGACGCGGCTGAAATGTTAGACGACGGCGGCGGCGGCGCGGCTCCACCGCGCGAGCGGGAGCGTTCCTTGGCGCGCGGGCCACACACGTCGCGTCGGGATTTTCGCTCCATGCCGGGAGCTAGGAGTCTGCCAGGCACAGCCTGGACACCTCAGTTCGGTCCGCACATGCGCATCCCCCGGTGAGACCCGCTGGTGGGAAGCCGGGATAGGCGCAGCACTTTCCTCACCTTAGTGCCGGCGTTGTTATTGGTGCAGGCGGCTCCCTCTATTGGCATTTGTGTGTATCTTTACTCAATAAAGATTTGGACAAACAATTTAATTCGCAGGCTCGTGTGCACACTATGAAGGCAGACAGCTGTGCTCCGTCACGCCCGAGAGCCTAACGTAGTATACCCCCAAATCGGTGTTCCACTCCTTTTTTATAACGGTCGGTCCGTTTGTTGGGTGGGGATTTTTATCTTTTTTTCTAAGATTTCTAAAAAGACAGATTACTATATATCTGTTACACGACTTTTAGGCTATTGACTATTAGGCGGTACGAAGTTCGCCGGGTTAACTAGTTTTTTTTTATAAATAAGAGCGGGAATATATTAGGTCCTTACATATGAAATTGGCGTTTTGTATGTTCGAATATTTTTAAATATAATATATTTAATTAATCAAAGTATGAACCATTGTTTTCTATGCACTTTTGCCATCTCATAGGTAGTTCATTGATCCTTTTACTAAAAAAAACCAGTCGGACGGGAATCAATGAAATATGTGAAGGCGATTTGGACTGCCCCATCAGAGTTAATTTTTTTCCCTTGCAAGAAGTTGTCCAAATTTCGAAAAAAATGGTAATCTGTTGGAGCAAGGTCCGGGGAGTACGGAGGATTTCTTAGACATTCCAATTGAAGCTCTTCTAATTTGGTAGCCGTCTGTTGTGCAGTGTGTGGTCTATCGTTGTCGTGAAGTAGCAGTGGCGTGGAGCGATTGACCACCCTAGGTTGTTTAGCCGCTAGCTTTCCCATCATGGTTTGCAATTGCTGACAAAAGACATCAGCCGTAATAGTCTGGCCAGATTTGAAAATCTGCAATGAACAATACCGGCACTAGTCCACCAAACGCTTACAAGTAACTTTTTTGGGGTTAATTTTCGCTTGGGGCAGGATTTGGCTGGCTGGGCAGGATCCAACCATTGCGCTGAGCGCTTCCGATTATCGTAAAGAATCCATTTTTCATCACAGGTAATGATTCGGTTTAAAATACCTTCATTATTGTGCCGGTTCAGTAATGTAACGCAGCAGTCGACGCGCGTTTGCCGGTTTGCTTCAGTCAATTCGTGAGGTACCCATCTTTCAAGCTTTTTAATCTTCCCGATTTGCTTCAAATGAATTAAAACAGTTTTATCACTAACACCGCAGCCTGCAGCTAACTCGGACGTGGTTTGCGATGAATCCGCTTCCATAATAGCCTTCAATACTTCATTATCAACTTGGGTCTCAGGCCGTCCACGGGGCTTGTTCTGCAGGTCGAAATTTCCAGAACGAAAACGTTGGAACCAAAAACGAACTGTGTTTTCTTTTGCAACATGACCGCCATACACATCATTCACCCTTTGAGTCGTTTCCACAGCACTAGTGCCACGGCGGAACTCGTACTCATAAATAATGCGATACTTTAAGTTTTCCATTTTGTAAAATGAGTGACGCAAACAGAAAAAAACAGAAGAAAAAAAACAAATGAATGACGGTCATCGAAGCACAAACACATGAGCAAATAGCTGTACAAATTTGAATTTGGAATTCCTTACCAAAGAGGAGAACATCGTGATTAAAGTGGCCAGTACGAAATACGCCAATTTCATTAAAGGACCTAATATTATACAATCTTCAATAGTTCTCGTATTTCGCTTGAACATAAATCAGGGTCGTAGCATCTTCTATTGGTATATGTGAAATGTTGTATCATAGAGTTCATATTTCAAATCTGAAAAGGGCGGGAAATAGCTATTGATTACGCATGCGCTTTGGTCTTTTGCCATCCCTATCCTTAGAATTTTCAATCCAATATATTCCCGCAACAGTGTAGATTTCTACGTAAGGTTGGTCGTTTACCCTTAAATAACACAGTATAAATGCGTTTCTACAAATTTTACTAAGATGAAGTTTGTTTTTGTGTTGTCTTTGTTTAATATCATAAATAATTGCTGGGGTAAGTCAAAATAATTACTAATAAATGCCCGTAACAATATCTTAAGTCTCTAGTACTTACAAATTCATTAAGGGGCTGATTTGGAATTACGGAAACAACTACTTACTAGTTTCGTAATGGGTAACACATAGACATAGACAAAACATACAGAATTTATAATAGCAAAATTATATTGTATTAAAGAATGTTTAATGAGAAATTTCCCATGTTATGGAATTCAAACTTCGATTTTGACATGCGTGAATTGTAATAAATTGTCAAGTACTTTAAATATATTTCTATTGGGTCGTCAATATGTCATTTCATTTTGAAATATTTAAAAGCTTTTTTTGTTTATGAATTTTTCTAATTTACCTTACTCATTTTTTATATTAATTTACAGGTGTAAAGCTATTAGAGGCAAACCCCGATGTGAAGCGGCTCTACGATGATCTTCTCAGTAATTACAATAGGCTTATACGTCCAGTCATGAATGTTAGTGACATATTAACTGTAAGACTTGGTCTAAAGTTATCTCAACTTATGGAGGTCAATTTAAAGAATCAGGTCATGACAACCAATCTATGGGTTGAACAGGTAAATTTCTGGAATATTTTAATGACATTGTTTTGTATCGTACAGTGGGACTGTTGTTGTTAATAATTTCAAAAAAAGTAATCCAACGACAGCCCGGTAAAGGGTTTTCCATGAGCGGCCAAGTAAATATATGCCTTGTTCATTCGTAAACATATGCAGAAACGTTTTTAGGTTTTCGTTATTTTAAATAACATTCAAATTATTAATTTAGATTTTTAATGGTAATAGATATTGAAATTCATTTCCAAATCCAATAAAGGGAAAACATATAATATCGTTTATTGATTTTTGAAAAGGAATGTCTATGTTTTTAGAAATGGCAGGATTACAAGTTAACCTGGGATCCAGCAGACTACGGCGGTGTTGAGATGTTGTACGTACCCTCGGAACACATTTGGTTGCCAGACATAGTGCTGTATAATAATTGGGATGGAAATTATGAGGTATCTTTGTTTTTTACTTAAGACTTTTATGCTCCCAACAAAACATGCGGAAACGTTTCTACGTGTTTCACTGATCATATTTAGCACTAGATAAGTAGATTCTGTCCCGAAATAGTTGTTATTGTTCGCTAGGAAATAAATCAAATAAGACACAATGGTGGTAGATACGTTAATTAATATTTAAAAAAATGGAGCCGAGTTATTTAACGAATGTATACGTATAATTAATATGATTTCGATGCGAGTAATTTATGAATGTTTTATGTAGTTTTAACCGTCTTAAAGGTGGTGACAGTATAATTGTAATTATTTGGGATGCCAAATCATAATGACAATCACAGTTACTGGCAAATTTCTTTTATGCAAATTACAATTATAAATACTTAACACAATATTCTACAGCTATTACACTACTTTAATCATATAGGTAACACAATGTACACTAATTATGATAGTCAAAAAAAAGAAATGTATATGAAATGCTTCTAACTTTACATTTAGTGCCAGTTCTCAAATCAAGGGCAAGAAGAACTGGCAATAAACTCTCCGCCCCTATTTTTAATCGTCATGTTTTTTTACACAACGTTTGTAAGGAGCTGCAACCATTACGTCATGTGGAACATGGTGTAATGGTTACTAAACATGAATCAGACGTAAAAATTGTCTGCTTGGTGTTCCACACACACAGGTTGTCAAATTAAGTTACTATAGACGGTTCTATATTCGAGGCAAAAATATAACTAAACCACCAAGCCACTGCTCGACACTCCACGTATACACTATATAAATTTGTATGTAATTTTATACATCTACGATCCTACATCAAAAGTTAGTTTAATTTCCTATTAAATTATTTTACAGGTTACACTTATGACAAAGGCAACTTTAAAATACACTGGAGAAGTAAATTGGAAGCCACCTGCCATTTACAAGTCGTCCTGTGAGATTAACGTGGAGTACTTCCCCTTCGACGAGCAGACGTGCTTCATGAAGTTTGGTTCCTGGACTTATAATGGGGCTCAGGTAATATTTTTAAAAGTATTTCGTGTGCCTGGTAAACTTAGTGACACAAAAAGTCTAAATTCAAGGAATGGATCATTTGGAATAACGAGCGTAGGCCCCGATTAACGAAAAATTATAACCAATTTATTTTACTCAAACTCAAATCTTTATTGCATTCCTTATGTTCATATTTTACACGTGACACGTTATAATTTATTAAAATAAGGACCTTGGTTAGGTATGTTGTGAGAGCATGCCCATGCTTTATAATAGTTAATTCTTCTGTGAGTGTTAGTACTGAACTTCTCTCAAACATGACCGATTTTATGGAATTTTTGTGTGTTTAAGGGGATTAGAATGGTTTAGATTCACAAATAGATATGAGTGGTATTTCATACTTTTAATATTTTTAATATAGGAAATAGTTAATTCTATTCTTATAAGATACGTTATTTATTTGGTATATTTGTTTTCGCTTCACGTTGCGAAAAGTAAAATGTACTTAACATTATTAATGGTTGTAGAAAAACACTACATGAAATTATTAACTTAATTATTATCGTTCTCTGTTAGGTTATATAGGTAATTTCTACTTTTGCAACGTTTTTGTCTGTCTTTGGACTCCTAATATTTACCTAGAAACTTCATCTTTAGTGGCCTTTATTTTCTGGTTCTTCCGGGTTAGAAGTTTTGAAATGTCTTTGAGGCTCTTGAAAAATTATATTACTAAATAAAAATTTCAGGTGGACCTCAAACACATGGATCAATCTCCGGGCAGTAGTTTGGTACACGTTGGTATAGATTTGAGTGAGTTTTATCTGTCTGTGGAGTGGGATATACTCGAAGTTCCAGCTACGAGAAATGAAGAGTACTACCCATGTTGCCCTGAACCGTTTTCTGGTAAGAAGTTTTACAATAGAAGGTAGTAAATTGAATAGAAAAGTGTATGGAAAAAGAAATTGGCTTTACATATCTTTGACTATTTCACTGAAAAAGTTTTCGTGGTAGGCATAGAAGACATGTGTCATAAATTTTTGTGCATATAACAACTATATGTTATTGTTAAGAGCCCATAAAAATAAAACCATATAGCCGGGGTTTTAATGCACAATATCAGCGTTGAATTGTGTAACAGTAGCTTAAAGTATATTCCTAATCTTAATAAATACTAATGAATCTAAATACACCCAAATTGTGTTTACGCTATGATGAAAAGAGAAACAGTTTAGTACTTTGAATTAATATTTTAATCATTTAGGTGAATGTCACTTAGTTTTAGATGATTTCGCTTTATTTCATGCGCGCTCGGTATATAAAAATAAAAGATTTTACCTGCCTCTCTTTGGGCATTCAATGATAGCTGTCATTAAATTATCCCGACCGGCACGGCATATTGTACATCAAAATTTTTACAATTGATCGATATTAATTTTTCTAAAATCTATTTAAATTATTTTATTTCCTAGAACGCATTTCTGCCATATTATGATGATATTGTCAGGTCAAAGACCAATGCAGGTATGGTCTGTAAATAATCAACGACGTACACATATATACATATATTGTACATATATATCGCGGAATAAATTAATAGAAATCAATTGTACAAAAAAATTTATGTGTCAAACGTTTTATTATGCAGGTTTGTTTTACTGAATCTTGAGTCATAATTTACTTAGTAATAAATAATAGTTAAAAAAAACTAAAAAACACGCTTTTAAAGCACATCAAACTAAAAAGTGAAAAATAATTCCTAATTTAGGCTGAAAATGGTAATGAACAAAAAATACTGGTATTATTGTAAAAAAGCGTGGGGCGCTCTGTGCCATATTTTTCGTCAATCGAGCAACCCACGCTTTTTCACAATAATATTTTTTTTTTCGGATTATTGCATTGTCATCGATCTTTGACAGTTGCGCAAAATTTGAATTAAATCTGTCCGTTTAAAGTGGGTCAAAATCGAGTCCGAAGGAGTCGGTTACATACATACATACATACAGGTGAAGCTAATATAAAGCGTGTAACATCAATTAAAAACTGTTCCAAAATAGATGATAATGCATTGTCTTAATTGTCAGTTGCGCTACACTCCTATATGGGTCTTGGCCGTAGATTGCTTCCGTGTCTTTGATAATTTGTTTTGATTACTTGATTTCATGGGCAAAATTTTTCAGCCTCGTGTACACACACACAAGTTTCCTCACAATATTTGCATTCACGGTAGGAGCAAGTGTTAATGTTAGTGTTCCACGCATAGACTACTAGGCCGACACTGTTCTGTCCGGGAAACCCGAAAAAGAATGCGGGGTGGTCGGAAAATACAATGACTTGATGACCCCCTGATCGAAGACCTAGAACAGGGCGGGTAACGGATAGGCATTTTCACCGTGCCCAGTCAGCGACTACCACTCTCCTATGATTAAATATTATAAAATCGAAACAATATCTTAATGTGACCTAAGCTAAGGAGTTGTTTTTGTTACTTTTTTTTTTTAAATATGCAAGACTTGAAATTTAAGTGATTTTTTTATAGAACAGGGGGCAAACGGGCAGGAGGCTCACCTATTTAGTGATACCACCGCCCATGGACACTCTCAATGCCAGAGGGCTCGCGAGGCCTTTATACTAGCATGATCCTGTTTAACACGATATAAATATATCCGTTTGTTTCAGATATAACGTTTAAACTGACAATGCGCAGAAAGACACTCTTCTACACCGTGAACCTGATCATTCCGTGTGTGGGCCTCACATTCCTTACCGTGCTTGTGTTTTATCTCCCTTCAGACTCGGGAGAAAAGGTAATTACGTCGTGACAATTGGCTATCGATGTTTGTTTTGATGTTTGTCCAAATTATCACGAAGGGAACTTGTGTAACAGTTGCATTTTTTCATTAATTAAAAATAGACGTGTTTTAGGACCACAGCTATTAATGTAATATTTGGTAATCTAAGTATCTTGAGATCGTATCACCAAAAGGCACCTCTTATTACGTTACATTAACATAAGTATGCTCCCCCTGCCCCAATGGTACATGGGACATGGAGCACGCAAAATATTATTGTGGAGCTTAATGAACTTTACCTTAACTAATTATTGTTAATGTAAAAGATAAAACCACATCTATTTATTTTTTCTTATTATAATATAGAATCTGCTAGGGAGTTCACAGCGATGTACGTCATTTAAAAAAAATTGGCACACAAGTTCTACTTCAAACTTATCGTCACGACTGTACACAAAATAAAAGACACCAAATCAGTAGCAGACACTCCGTTGTATGGTTTCCACTAATACTAATTAAGTCCATCTAAGTTTTACAATTGCGTTTCTCAAAGGGAATTTTTATAATGACATGGAAATTATTATCAAATTATTGAATATATAATTAAAGAGACAAGGATTATGTAAAACATAATTATAAATGCGTATACATACTTCTAAATACTTATAACTGTATAATTACTTCATTATGCGTTTTATACTTTTTACACTGACAGTTCAATTTGGGACAATAAAGTCTGCATAAAAGTATCTAGCATTTATTTGTCTTTTAAACAATGTTATTTTGAACCGGCTCAATTCTTGACCGCACGTTCTGTATTTATATTTTTGTATACTGGCAAAAAATGTTAAATTTATATTAGTTATGAAATAAAATAAAATATTTCAAAATACAGATTCACAGTCGAGGCTAAGTATGGCTTCAGTGTGTCAAAAAAGTATTTTTTTTAAAGATACTTAAGTAAAGGTAAAAGATTTTGACATACGGAAATCAAAAAAGGCTAACTTACCACTTAACACAACACTTAAAATTTTAGCACTGCCACACAAGATATTTATATAGTATTTCGACTGATTACTAGTAATAAATCGAATTTGGATAAACTTAAAACTTTTGGCTATTTTAAGTTTGTTGTTTAAAGTCTATTTCCATAACTCACGAAAGGGTATACGGGTAGGTTAATAATGATATAGTAAGAAGTGTAAAACGCATATATTATGTTTTGGTGTCTTTTAGTATGAAAGCCGAGCATGTTCATTCCATATCCCATCCATTTTCCATTCTCTATTCCATATAGAGTCTTTTTTGATTCATTAGCTAGTTTTGTGGATGTGATAGCATCATTTGTATCATTTGGCTTATCAAGACTATTGTCTTTCCAAGTCTAACTTAAATATTGTAAAATTGTAAATAACACCAATATTTATTAAATGTAAAAAACAATGCTCTAACTAAAAATTGTTTGATTAAAAAAATATTTAACGCCATTTTTTAAATAAATAAAATAAAATTAATATTGTTATGACTTTATCGGAACTTTAGGAATATTGTAAGGTGTAAGATAGTCGAGCTTAATCTTAGTATAACTTTCGTATTTCAAATCCAGTATGTTTTAGATATACAAGAGTCCCACTTAGCGCTAAATTTTGATTCTGAATCCTAACCAAAAATTCCAACGTATCGAGCATGGGTTCTTATCATATTATCAAATTCAAAATAACTATCAACATATATATCACCCGTAGTAACCTTTTAGTGCTATAAGGTGTCTTATTGTATTGTTATTTATAAGTTCCACATATACATCAATTAATAGTCTTGCGCCAAAGTAAAGACATTTTTATCGAATTTTCTATACATATTTGATACAAACATATCTTATATCAGCGATTAAAATTTGCTCAGTATTTACATGTATTTCTTTCGCACCGTCATAATAAGAAACAAGCTGTGATATCTAATAATATAAGAGAACCCAATATATAGGTAACTCATGCTTGACTTATATTAAATGATTTTTTTTATTGAACTGAAGCGTTTACTGTACATCTTATATACAACGGAAATCATCAACCTTTGGTTATATGTTAATTCTAACAAGTAAACGTTTCCATTCAATAAAAGCAATTACACTTTTTTTAAAGTCGTGAAAAGAAATTTGCGCGAGAACTTTAGTTCCGATAAAATGAATTTAATCTTAAATGGAAAGACAATAAACAGTTGACAATAATTCAAAAAGGACTTCTCTCCCCTAGATTTCGCTCTGCATCTCCATCCTGGTGTCCCTCACAGTGTTCTTCCTCGGTCTGGCCGAGATCATCCCGCCAACATCCCTGGCGATCCCCTTGCTCGGGAAGTATCTGCTATTCACAATGATCCTCGTCTCTCTCAGCGTGTGGGTCACAGTATGCATTGTAAACGTCCACTTCAGGTAATGTTTCTCTCTCGTAGATATCGTTAAGCATCTCAATATTGGTATCATTGACGGTGTTCTTCCTGCTGATGGCGGAGATCATACCGCCGACGTCCCTCGCGATCCCACTGTTAGGAAAGTATTTGCTGTTCACCATGGTACTGGTATCGCTTAGTGTATGGATGACAGTCCTGGTGCTTAATGTGCACTTCAGGTAAGTGAATTGCAAATTAGGCACGGATTTTGCTAAGACTTTACCCCCATAGAACCCTTTTGAGTCGCTTGGAAGATCTACACGGTTTAGTCGAATGAAACAATGAGAAACACAAATCGTTACGTAGCATAATAAAATCTAGCACAGAATGCGTACAATAGTTAGCTCATAAATCTTCCCCTTTTGTAACATGGTATGCGATAACTGGACGAGAGCATATAAGTTATTACACTGAGATATTCATTGAATGCACGTGTTATTATTACGTGCAGGATTATTTTGAAAAGCAGCTTGCTCGTATTTTATTCACATTGAAATATAATTTATAATATTAGTAAACCAGGGATATCGAGTAATTTTCTATCTATTTTAAAAAGGGTTTATATCTATGCGACAAGTTTTAAAAATAACCCTGTATAGTTGCACTTGCATTTTAACTTGATAATGGATTTTTATTCGAGATATAGAATTTCCATACAATTCGTTTCCCTCATTTCATATAAATTCTAAAATCATACGTGAAAATTTAATAACAAGCTATATTCGGTTTTGTGTGTTCAATTCAAAACAAATCTGCATTCAGCGTCGAACATAAAAATTAATGAAGTACATAAATTGGCGTGGTTGTACGCAGCGATTCAAATTGCCACATAAATCCTAACATTCATTGTTATTTTCATTTGGTTTGAGTCTACTCGGAGTAATTACTTTTAATTTTACTAATTTTGCTTTAATAATAGTTTGTCGAATAGATGTCCTATAGAATTCTCTCGGGGATTCTCTTGAATCGTAACTACATTATTTGTGAATAAAAATAAACAATTACTTTTGTACATTTATGACCGTTAAAAAAGTTACGTCAGAATGACCAACGAGAGGAACTGGCAATAGACTCTACGCCACTACTATTAATCGCCACTTTTGTATTTTAGTATAAGATACTTGTAAAGAGTTACTCATTACACCAACATTTTATTATTAAGTTCAACATTATCAATATGGTAGCTTAAGGTTTTTATAATATTTTTGTGAGTGAATAAATAAACATACTAATAACAGGCATTGATATATAGTTCCGTAATCAATAAATATAATAATTGAACACGTTTTTTCAATGAAAGTGGCGTTTTAAAATTAATTTCTTAATGTCAACGAGCGAAGGCTGTATAGCTTTAAGTATATAGTTAATTAAATTGTTATGGACGTTCATAGTGTACATATGTTAGGTCCTTACATATAACATTGGGTTTGTATTGGAGAAACAAAAAGTAGATTTTTTTTAAATAGAATATTTTTAATTAATTAAAGTATGTACCATTGCTATCTATGCACTTTTGCTATCTTATAGGTAGTTCATTGATCCTTTCACTAAAAATACCATTCGGACGGAAATCAATAAAACGTTTGAAGGCGGATTCGACTGCCCCTTCAGAGTTAAATTTTTTACCTATTGGAGCAGGGTTCGGGGAGTACGGTAAATGTCTTAGACATTCCAATTGAAGCTTGGTAGCAGTCTGATGTGCAGTGTGTGGTCTAGCGTTGTCGTGAAGCAGCAGTGGCTTAGAGCGATTGATTGGCCTTGGATGTTTAGCAGCTGATAATAGACATCTGCCATAATCGCCAATATAATATGTAAGGACCTAATATGTACCTTTGTACATAACTCGTATTTGATTTAACTATCGAAATAATTAGAATCAAAACAAATTAACCGCTTCTTAGAATACGTTTATTGTACGTAATTACTTTACTACGTAATTACTTTTATATTACAATTTATAACGACAAAAACATATATCAATATTGACCCGTTATTCGTGAAATATTATACCCAATATTGTGGCTAACATGCTTCATCTGGAATAACGGTAGATTTTGTGATAGCAGCAACTATCACAGGCATAATTTGTCGTGAACAGCCTAACGAGGTATTACTGTGTATTTACGTTTAGTCCAAGAGCTAGAACCGTATAATAAACCGGAGTTAAGCTCCTGAGATTATCGAGTACGGCCACGAGAATTTCAAATATAACTTGGTGATTCGTAGTTTCAGTGGAATTTGACGATGCGGCTTTTAAAAAAGTACCGCTACTGCATCTTTTTTGGATTTTTTTTAAAACGAGAAATTATGACACGAAAAATGTTAGTGAACCTGAATCGATTCTAAATTTTTGGTTTGCAATGCTAATTTGTGTTAAATTAGAAGTTTAGCTCTTAAACTATTTGATGATACGTTCATAGAGTGTGGGCGTGACGCTAAAATAGAATAGTGATTGTATAAAATACAATGGTTTTGTAATTTCAACCCCGAATAACCAGCTTGTTGAAAATATTATTATGGGACATAAAATTTAAGAGCCATCAATTAGCTGCTGTTAATTGAATACGTTTTTGCTTATTTGGAAAGATCAATTGTATCGTTGTAAAACCTTTTACAATAGTTCAGTTATTATATGTTCAGTTATTTTTATACAACAAGCCTCCAAGTATCTCAACAGGTCACCGGGCACACATATCTACAAGTCTACGCTATAATATATAAATCTATTATGATTTGAAGCTTTAAGAACCCAGGACTGTTTATTATGACTATTAAAAGGGAAATCGAACCAAGTGTATCAAATTACAATCCTTAATAAGTGAAGTTTTGAACTGATATTTCTGGATACCAAATCATACATCGAATGCTGAAAGAGCTTGGATAATAGAGCAAAAATAATAAATAAAAATTTAGAAAGTTGTAATAAATAAATAAAAAATGTGTGCGTGTACTAGGTGTACACACGTAAGAAGTGAAACTTCTTTATGACCTTATTAGAAACTATTTCTTTAAACAGAGTAAATTTTGATACACTGCCTAGCATACAATTTACAAATTAATTGCTGCAAATTGTGATTAGCAAATTTCAAGTCGAAAATGTAATCCGTTGTCAAACTTCAAAGTCAAAAACATACTATATGTCATATTTTAACGCCGATAAAGAAGTTTGACTTCGAAAATGTAATCCGTTGTCAAACTTCAAAGTCAAAAACATACTATATGTCATATTTTAACGCCGATAAAGAAGTTTGACTTCAAAAAGCAACATGGCGCGTAACGGAAAAATGTGACGCGTAACGCAAAAATGTTACACTAAATTTTTACCCAACCCCGATAAAGAAGTTTCACTTCAAAAATACATAGTACATTGAAATCATAAATGTGACATCGTGCAACAAATTGCAGCTTATAGAACGCATATGACATCTACATATGTGTAGGAAACACATTTGCTGTAAGTAGACATATTGCAATTGTTCACCAGAGCCAAAAACTTTATTAATTTCGGAAAAAATTAATAGTGTCTGACCTATCCATGATATTGCTACCATTTTTGAAACATATATTTATTTAACTGCCAGTCACCATTTGCAATGTAAACTTTTTATCCAAATTACTATAAGTACGTGTTTGGCTAGTTACAGCAAACAGTTTTTTAAATCACAAACCTTTAAAACGCTGTAACTAAGGAAGAAAAATTACGCGCGGAAATATTATCAATTTACAGACGGTAAATATGCTGTATCAGGAAATTTATGTATTTGGGTACTTTTAATTGCAATTCAAGATGTAAATTAGTTTATAATTATGATTAATCTAGAAATAGTGGTATTTGTAATTAATTTTGTTAAATAAAATGTCTAAATGGTAAAAAAACAAAACTGTAGTTCCCTAAACTTGCTGTAAGTAAAGAATTAAAAATCACAGCCGCTGAAATGCTGTAAGTAGCGTTAAGTTTTTAAATGGGAAGAAGTAAGTATTTGTAAAGAAAAATGAGATTTTCTTTTGCTTAAGTGCAAAATGTCTGAAATACTAGATTTTGGTCTACATACAGCATTTAATCTTGTAAAATAATATAAGTACGGGCTTTTCAACGTATTAATTTTTTTATTAGAGAAAGGACCAGGTATGATGCGGCTTTTTTTTATTTAATGAGGAAAAAGTATTTATATTTTAAAGAAATATTTTTAGTGAGTGTATAGTAATGTAAGTAGTTAGTTAAACATGTACCATTTCAACTGTCAGGCATTCGACACATTAACACTGCAATACTTTGCATATTTTATCGGAAAGCATTGCATGTTTTTAAACGTCTCCCTTTCTTCACCTAAGCACTTTGCAATTCGCAATTTTAAATTTGGAATTAAAAGGTATTATTCTTAGGTCCCCCTCTACGCATACGATGTCTCCGTGGATGAAGAAAGTGTTCCTCCAGTTCATGCCTAAACTGTTAATGATGAGGAGAACTAAGTACTCGTTGCCAGACTATGATGATACCTTCATGTCTAACGGATACACAAATGAGCTGGATATGAGGTTAGTCTAATGATAATATATTGCCGATAGTTAAAAAAAATCGGTTGTCTGTAAAGTCGGTTTACTGACGATAGTTGAACGTGACAACGTCATACAAAAATATTGATGGGATGGTTGCATTTTTCAAAAAAAAATATTAAATTTTATTTGTTTGATAGGTATTTTGTATGGATATAGAGAAGGAGGTAAATGGAAATCACAATTGAATTGATCAAGTTACATTTATTTGTACGCATAAATACAATTATGTCAATTTTAAATGTAACGCCTCAGAGCGAGGTAACGCCTCAGAGAGAGGTAACGCCTCAGAGCGAGGTAACGCCTCAGAGCGAGGTAACGCCGCATGAGTCATGTTTTTTCGTGCGTGCAGCCGGCTCCATCGAATTATAAGACGTTGTCACGTCAAAAATAATTGAGAAACAAACCGGGAATCGAACCTCCACACCGCGGTTACTTCTGTAGATCAACATTTCCAATTGTTATTCAGCAATATTCGACACCAAAAAGTTTATAGTTATTATATGTTGGCGTGTATATGTTAAGCAACGTTGCCTTTTGATAAACAGTCAAGATTCTCTTTGACTCTCTCTAATCGTTCCAAAACATTAGGAGACTTTCTAAAGTTCGAAAATAGATATATTTTAACAATTTTAGCAGATAAGTTAGGAAATCAATTTCACAAATTACTAAAAATTCCATCAGTACGTAACGGCTTATGCCCACGAGACATGACATGCCGGACTAAGGTCCGGCAAAAAACCGGGACTACGCCCGGTCGTCAGTCTTCTCTGGGACACTATGACGCCAACCACAACGCTGGCGCTAAGCCCGGCAACCGGGCACGGTGCTCGCCGCGTCCGAGTCCTACGCCCGGTGAGTGGTATGGCAGTGTGAAACCGGGTCGTGTACAAACCGTCTTGTGTGCAAGCTCAAGAAGAAAGCAAGAGTTAAAAGCTTTAGTTAAACAAACGCAAATGTTTGTGTATGTAATTAGAGTTCACATGGCACGTGCACGTCTACATTTAACAAAAAAAAAACAAAAATTAAAATATGTTCTGTAAATTTTAGTCTCACCTGATTACGTAAACAAAATTCCACTAGAAAGACCAATATTTTCATAAAGAAACGAGTAATTTCTCAAAGGCTCGAAGCCGTGTGATTTCCGCAAAATCCGGTTTTCGCGAGAGTTGAGCCAGATTAATCTGGTTTATACCGGAACGGACATTAATTTACCGGTGCATCGCTCTGTCTGCGTTTGCCTTTCGTTTGTCTATTTTGTGCAGGCGTTAAATTGAATATTTATGAACATAAACGTTTGGTGTTCGATTAACACGAGCGTACAATATTTTATTATTGTAATATTTACAGACGGATATATTAATAAACAGTTGGTGCAATAATAAATGTAATGATATTATCTAATTACTTAAACTGGTAAAAGAAACTAAAAAATCTTAAAAAAATATCTAAAAAACACTAGAGACAATATATAAATATGGAAGATCTAATTTTATAACCAATGTTCTAATAAGAAGTTATATAATACAAAACTTACTAGGTAGCTTAAATAGTGCTTTTAAAATTTGCCTTTTAATATCTACCATTTGTCTAGTACATTGACTGATTACAAGCTTGTTATATTATTATTATTAAGCCTTTATTGCTGACACCCAGTACAATATAATAACAATTATTTAAGTTACATTAAAAATAGACACATAAGTCTAATACATAAATAAAACTTAATCTAATACGTCACTTGACCCGTTGTAGGTTGTCAGCGTGTCCTGTGACACATAGGCCGCTTGCAGCTGTTTCCATTTTTTCTGATATAAGCTCTTATCCAAGTTGTGCCTCCTATTAGCTTGTTATAAGAAATTGAAAATAATGAATCAGCAAAAGGTGAGACAGATAAAAACGGTTGGTGTAGCCAGGTACGTAAGGTCATATATTCCTTTGTGTATATGAGAGTAGGACATTAGCACAATGACCTATAGAGTGAAAAGCAAAAGGCGTGCCGATGCGAATCGCTTGTCTGCACCCGCACCCCGCAGCCTCTAAGACCTCAAAGAATAGATGGGGCAATGTCGCCTACAACAGAAGCAAACGCTTACGAAAGTTCAGCCTTAAAACTAGTGAGGAGGTATTAAGAGGCTGTTTGTTTTTTGGGAACAGTAATCAATCAGACCTTGTCGATAAGTAAAATTAAATTATATGTATGCTTGAAACACAAAACTGAAATATTTTGCAATACAAATGAAATGTGACTTGCCTTGTACAAAGAGATCCTATTGCGTGTATTACGTTACAACTAAAAACTAATAAAAGCACTGCACGCGATCCACCCGTTCGTTATCGAATTTAAACGTGTATTTTTCATTAATTTCGTTTCGTTTCATAGAGTGAAATGTTATGTTTCGGTTCGGATATTTCGCGATAATTTCCAAGTTTCATTTTAGCGAATACTCGATTTAAGCACAACATTTCAATTAACTCACTTTGTTTGCGGTTGTTTTCTTTGAATTATATTGTTTAAGGTTTTCAACGTATAATAGGGTCAGTTGCAATTTAACTGCTTTGTTTATATGTCTCTATTCAAATTTGGAACTGAATTGGTTAAAAACTTGACAAAAAATTGAGTTGCAATTTAGTAGAGCGCCTGGGGGTTTTCACCTCGGACTAGGGTTACAGTGAATCAATTAATATGATCGATGTGGGATATCGTTTTTTAAACTATAAATTGCAATGTTTACCCAAAATTTTTTGTGCACTCCATTGTTTCATTGTTTAAACAAATTATTATGAAAAATTAATATTTGACCATATATTTTCACTTTAAACAGTATTTTTTTTTTTGTTTTTATTTTTTTCATATTAATTAATTCACTGTAACTCTAGTCCGAGGTTTTACGGTTTTGTATGCTCCAGGCACTCTACTAATTGAAAAAAATACTATTAACAAGATAGCTAGAATGTCATGTATTTTTGAATCATTGCGGCCCCTGAGCTTTTCTAATACTTGACGTCGGTTTTAAAGCTAGAGGTGGCCTACATGTCCCAAGAGGATCATGTTTTGTATTGAAGCAAATAAACCCCTTTAAATATTTATGTTCAATTAAAAACAGATACTATTATTATATTACTATTATATAGTATTGTCTTTTATTGACATAACTTTGACACATTTAATAAAACAATTTTTAACCGGATTGAAGTTGTGTATTTACAATTATTTTACATAATTTTAAATTTAACCGACGTTTCGCGTGCTTTACAGCGTGCGTGGTCATGGTGACTGAAGACAAAAGGTGTTGAATGTCAAAAAGTATCACAGCTGTAGAAAAAGTTGTATTATCTGTATTTATTTCCCCGGAGTTGGTACCGACTAAAAAAAAAATTAAAATTATGTAAAATAATTGTAAATACATAACTTCAATCCGGTTAAAAATTGTTTTATTACTATTATACGTATATTTTAGTAAAATATCCCTTTATTAGTCACATGTTTGTATCTGCTTCATTTTTCATTACATAAAATTGTGTGACTTCTATGCCTTTTAAGTCCAAACTATTATAGTTCTTATCAAAACTTCTTAGAGTTTTTACGTCACTATTTCATCGAAACGAAGATAGTGCTAGGTCAATGAAATAGATGAATACATTCTTCCTAATATTAGGCCTTTATACGATCGTAAACAGGTTTATTGGGTGAAGTGAAATGTAAAACATTTTACGAGTGAAACCATGGGGCGTTGTTGCCTCAAGCCATTTGCGGCTTGCGAATGAGCGATAATTTTCGTCAATATACCACAATATGCTTCGGATGTGTATGATCAAAAAAGTGAACTTTATATAGTCCGATTCTATTTGTACTGATGTTTTTTTATCAAACTAAATTTATTTGTAAGCAAAAAACGAGAAAAGAGTTAAATTAGTAGTTTACATTAACTATTAATAGAGCGCAAATTTTGCCAAAATATACGAAATCATAACTGGGGCCGGCTATTATGCAATTAAAGTATGATATTTTATTAGTTTCATGTTTGTAATTAATAATTGATCACAGCGTACACAAGAAAAATCCACATGTTTTAAACTCAATTTAGGTTGTATCTTCAACATGTATCTTTACGCTCATAGAAAAGTATTTTGCGTGTTCTCGCATTTATCAAAGTGCACGTGACGTTGAACCCTAATGCTTTATTAATATGGGTCGTTATCGCTCGTCCCTCGACATGAGAAAAGCTAATACTCGTTTGTTGAAAGGATTTTAAAAAGCAAAATTTACATTATATTAGTATTAGGTAACTTATTTACGGGAAAATTAAATAAATAATGTGGAGAGTAACTATTAATTTAATTTTAATGGTTTAGTCAATTTAAATAATGTTTTTTTATAGTTGTTTAAGCATTTTAAGAGTAACTAAGAAACAAACAAAAGCCTACAAGTTTATAGATTTAAATTAAAAAATACTAATTCATATTTAGTTATATTTTATACGTAACCAAATAATAGGTCGTAAACGTAGTGCAGTTAAAAGCTAATTAATACTACTGTTTGGGCTATTAACGATACACAATACAGATCTGAATATATTTTAACTCACCTATAACACACTTTTACGTTTTAGTATTCCATCATTATATTTCTTGCAAATTAAGTGGCTGACAATGGCCAAGTAATGGGGAAAAAGTGTGTATTCGAATTGCCGAAGTTATGTTTCCAGCAGGGACAGTCTGACGGACGCTTTTTCCACTGGTAAAGGCGATGATGGAGATTACCGAAAATCACCGGGACCTGAAGACGATATGCTTGGGGCAGGCGCTCATCAACGACCATCAGGTAGGAAGTTGTTAGGAAATCAATCACGAATATATTGTAACTATTGTGTCTAGTTTTGGAAAAGAAAAAAAGAAAATATGATTTACATATAAAATTACGAAAGTAATATTACGCAGTGGTAAAAGGGCAAAAGGCTTTTAAAAAGTAAATCAGGTCGGTGCTCTAATCTATGTTGACGCTTCGTAGCGCCATCCGTAGCATAATCACGTAGCTGCTACGTTGTAGCACTCTACGGCGTGTCTACAAAACACATTATGATATTTTAAAGGATTATTATAATACAAAATCTATGAAGAGTAAATGAGGTCCACTAGCCTTTAGGACATATTTATTATACGTATTTCAATTCGAAATAGGATAAAAGATATTATTAAAAATATGATATATACACAAATGGACTACTGTATATCCGAACCAATTCGACTTAGGGTCCTTCAAGAAAAGAGGGTATCAATTCTTAAAAAGCCGGCAGCGCACTTGCGAGCCTTCTGGTAGTGCGAGTGTCCATGGGCGGCTGTATCACTAAACATAAGGTGAGCCTCCTGCCCGTTTGCCTCATGTAACATAAAAAAAAGCAGTAGCCTCATTGGTAAATATAGAAGAATCAATATTCTGCTATAAGTGTTTCTAACATATGTGGTTAGAATAAAATTTCCTAAATGAAAATAATATATAGTGAATAACAAGAAAATCTAGTATTTGAAACACGCAAACATGTTCGCCTAGTGTCAAGACTATCTTTATTTCAAAGCTCAAAGATAATGACGTTGTTTTCCAATAGTGACGGATTCTGAGAACATGTTACCGCGCCACTTGTCGCCTGAAGTAGCGGCCGCCTTGCAGAGTGTGCGATTTATCGCACAACATATCAAGGACGCCGACAAGGACAACGAGGTATATATTTTTATATATCTTTTATTTCATAAAGACATTTTAGATAGTTATGTAAATGTTAATACATAAATATGATATTTTGCTTTTTTTATAAATACCTGTTCATAAAAACAAGATACCTGCGATATTTTAGGCCCCAAAAAACCTCGCTCAGCTATTATTAAAATAAATTAGCCTTAACAAATCACTCAACTTGTTACAAGACAGACAAATTGGTCATTAACAAATCCCTCCGTTATCGTAGCAATTACAATTACTTTAATCCCGGAGATAGCTTCAAACTTTCGCAAATAAAAGTTGTACCATCCACTTTCTGATAACTTCAAATTGCTTCAGTCTTTCCTGGATAAATAGTCACCTTTGAACTTTGAAATGTACTACTATTTCGAGGGTGAAGCGAAATAAATATTAAAAAAAAAATATATATATATATTAAACTGACGCCTAAGATTATAGCCGCATAACGACCACATAGAGACAAAATTCCGTTTTTGAACAATATCACCTAATCAGAGTTGATGTCAGTTTTGCCTATAAATTTTTCAGTCTAAAATTTAAATTTAGTATAGGATATATCTATTTCAAATTTAATCCGTATAACTTGATCTTAAACTCCTTTGGTAAATTACTTCTTAATAAATGAAAATTAACAACTTTTCAACACGTCTGTACTGTAAGTACCTATTAATGAAGATGAGAAGTTTCGTCAATAAAACTTCTACAGGGGCCCCTTCGAATAAGTTTAAATTGCCCTAACAGCGTACCGCTGTATAAACGTACGAACATATACGATGTTCTTCATTAAATTTAGGAAATAACTTATATTAATGTTCCATTTCAAAAGATAAATTGTATTTCCATATTTAATAAACATCATTACACTAAATACTAATTTTAAAAATAATAATTGTATTAAATTAGTTTCCCCCTGCACACTTGGTTTTGCCTCAAACAGATTTTTTTACTTGGCCTACCTTAGTAGTAGATACATACCAACATATGGAATATTTTGTTATACAACCCCACAGAGTTCCACGGAGTTGAAGAAATAATTTAAAAAATGCTGGAATTGATCGCAACATATTTTGCGATACATTTTTCTTTATATACATACAATGCGTACCTATCTTTTGAGTTACAACTAAACACTTTATTACTAAAAATTAAATAAAAGAAGATGTCAGTTAATATCCGTTAATATGAGTCTAGTAATAGTATAAGATCCCGCTATACAACGACCTTCACCGAGATGCTTATTTAATGAAACTTATTTTATATTTAATTTAATATGTCAATAAATATAATCCATATGGGTTGCCTAGCAAATTTCAGTCCAGAGTATGATTAATTAATATTAAAAAAAAAAAAAAAATTTTATAATTTGCATGTAGTAAATTTTTTGAACTTTTTTCAATCAATATTTTTAATCAGGGTAGTATTATATATGTATCACTATAACCTTCTTTTATACTAAAGATTTATATATACTTTAGTGTCACATAAAAAATAAACACATAAATAATTAATTGATTAAAAACAACCTAACGTTTGCATATTCTATGGGCTTCATACGTTCGATTGGTATAGAATTTATCTAATAATCATACCGGTGAAATGTTTAAAAAAATATTTTTTTTTTAAATTAATTAAACATACTCTGGACTGAAATTTGCTAGGCAACCCATATGGATTATATTTATTGACATATTAAATTATATATAAAATAAGTTTCATTAAATAAGCATCTGGTGAAGGTCGTTAGGTACTTAGTTGCTAATCTTGTTTAGCAATGAAATATTTGAAATCTATATTTTGAAATGATTCGTTAGAATTTGATGTTTTAAGGTTGTAGAGATATTATGTTTAGGAAATGCATGTCATATTTGTATTTTTTTGTTTTATTGCACTTATTACTTAATTCCTTTTTGTTAATTAAAACATGATTCTTTTAATCGGCCCAGCTAAACAAACTCTAAATTTTTCGTTTTTGAATAATTTGAATATCATATTGAATTCTTAATTCAATATTAAAAATTCAAACTTATTAAAAATTTTAAAGCGAAAAAACGGCTCGCATATTTAAATTGAAGAAGTTATTAAAGAAAACTTTCATTACAACAGAACAGTTAAGCTGTAGGTAGTGAGTGCATTTTCTTGAATTCGAACTTAAAAAATAAACTGAATTTAGTTGAAAATACTTGAAGAGTTTTGCTTACTTAGTATGACGTGAGTTTGAATTGTAGGTACGCTTTGCACAACTTTGTTTAAAGTTTTGACAAGAATTGCTTGTTTGAATGGGGAATGATTTAACGAATAAGTAAAATTGTACTCCATTTTAAGTTGAAAATACCGTATTTTTATACACGAATGTGATAAAGCGGTGATAGAAATATGTATGAGCCCAGCAGGCATCGTTTGCATTGATATTTATTTTTATAAACAAGTAGGTGATCAGTCTTCTGCGTTTCCCCGTGTATATATCGTTGATTGTTTTATCGTAGGGTTTTAAGATCTGCTGGTTTCCTTACGATTTTTGCTTTCACAATAGGAGTAAGTTTAGATAGAAACATCCATTAGTACACAGTCGAGCTTCGAATGCACCTCGACTCAGCGTTCAGAATTAGGCTTAAGCTACTAGAACAATAAAAATCTAACAAATAAACATGACACTTTTTCTTACATTCTGTGTTAGTACGTTTCGTTTGACTGAAGAATCTACAGTAACATCGTTATTTGTGCCTAACGTACTGAATATAATGTTTTATTCAAATCTCAGCGAGTTTAATCTCTATTTTTAGCTTCTTCCATTGTAACTTTATTGTGCTTATAAAATATTTAATGGTTTATGTATCATATGTAATATTCCTTTTAACTAACCATGAACATGGAATATGTTTGGAGTGGATTCCTGGGGATTTTTTATGATTCTATATATTTTATATTAAAATTTGAAATTTCTATTTGTTTTTTTCATCCCTAATGTACCATTTTATTTAAAACGACTTTACAATTTATTTTAGAGTTTTTCAATTAACAAAGCTTACCCGTTTAAAAGTTGTGCAGATTGCAAACATTTTGAATGTTTTTACTGGCCTTCTCGGTCATCTCTCGAAATGTAGTTAAATTTAAAGTTAGTACCAAGTTTGTTGCCATGGTAACGATACCATTTCAGCAGAATAGTAACCATATTAATAAATAACGGACTCGACTTAGATCAGTGTGTAAGTTTTTAAGAACTGCAACCTCGTCGGAGATTTTAGTCTGTGGCGTTCCACGATGAAGTGCTTTTTAAGAAACTTCTTCCCGTAAGCATTACTTTATGGATCTAGCTGCCAATCCAGGTATTTCCGAATCGTTACGACTTAGGTCCCTTCACGAGAAGAACGTACCTTAAAGGCCGGACACGCACTTGTTAACCTCAACGGTATCTTCCCTCCACATTTGCTTCCAGTCCCATAATAAACATTTCGAGCCTTATCATTAACGATAAATCACCTCTTTTAAAAATAAATTAAGCATTAAACAACTAAAGTTCTCAATACTCATCTCTTTTTATCTCAGCGTATACTCAGACTAAACGAATGACAAAATTATTATGAATAAAAAATCTAAAAATAATTGTACATTTTCTATAATAATAATAGCTAAAGTCTATGCCCTCCAGAGGCAAACAGAACAACAACATTTTCAAATGTTTGGTTTTCGAAAAATAATATTATACTTGAAAAGGATTCGCGACATTGTTAGGTTATTTGTGTAAAATACGGAAGTTACATAAACACTACGATAAATTCGTTCGAATCGAGTCGACAATCAGGACGTTGCAATATCAACATCAACAATGTTTGCACATGTTTGCTCAACATTTCAAACAACCCCTATACTTATACGGAAAAAGAAAGATTATATTTTCAGGATTGCTGTATACTCTGGAATAAATCTTTGTTTCTTACACAGCCTGAAGTGGTATGGATTATACCATTTTAATTATAATAATCTAGCAGCGCTACAACCCTTTTGTTTTGGCTATAGATTGCATCCGTTTCTTTAATAATGTATAATTATTATTAGGTGACCCGGCAAACGGTGTTTTGCCATGTATTTTATTTCTAGGAAACATTTTTTAGTTCAATAAAAATAACCATCTACTGTAATAAAAATAGGGGTTGATCGTAGAAGGGTGAAAATTAAGGGTTGTATGTATTTTGTATGCTGCATCATAACAAAATAAAAACAAAATTTGTTGTCTAAAAAATTAAATAAAAAAACATTTTTGAGGTGAACATCCCTTACCAAAAATGGGTTTAAAAGATAGATAGTAGCCGATTCTCAGACTTACTGTACAGTGTACATGCATAAATTTTTTTATAAAAATCGGTCAAACCGTTTCGGAGGAGTATGGGAACGAACATGGTGACACGAGAATTTTATATATATATATAGAGATATTATAGTAAGTAATTAGCCTCTGTCTCCTAGCACATGTCGTGGATTTTTAGGTTTGATGCAGGTTTCTTCACGATGTTTGCCTTCACCATAGGAGCAATTAGTGTCCATTCATTGCTGCACAGCCGTGATTCAAACGCACGACCTTAGGGTTGAGAGTCGCAAGCTTAAGCCACAAAGCCCACATCACTTAATTATACATCAGGCTATATAATATAGTCTCAGGTGGAAATTTATAAGTTAAACGTAAATACGTTATCTAAATAGATAAAAATCCTTTACACGAGTTGTTTGACGTTTGTGTCTTTGTCTTTCTTTATCAATTATAGCCAATTGTAATGGCAATTTACTCTAGTACGACTTTAAAATGTACCAACTTTGAGGTCGTGATGAAAGCATAGAGGTGAAAATGGGTGATGTATGTAAGGCGAAGAAAGGTGATTAACTTATTGATTACGCTTGTAGTGAGATAATAGAATGAACTTTTGAAATCTATGCCACAGATACAGAACTTTTTATAGGAATGTACACTGTTCTAAATTTAAATCTGTGTTATATTTTATCTATACCCGGTCAAACATTGATTGACTATCTGAAGTAAAAATGTATAATAAATTAATCATTTACGTAAATGTATAATTATTCAAGTCAGGTATTCACTTGTTTCTACTTTTGAATAACAGATTATTCATTCGGAAGTAATGAAATTCTAACGCCTCTTGAACGTTAACTGAATTTGAAAGTTATGAATTTGTTAACATATTTGACGAACGGCAAGGTACTCATACTTTATTGATGAGCAAGATAAACTTATCACGGCCGTACTATAGATATTTATTTAATGATTTTGGACCTGAAATACAACTTCATAGGGAAAATTGTTTGTAGACTTATCCAAGGACTCTTAACTCCACAACACAGCGTAGAAACAATAAAGATTTTTAGTAATTTAACGTAAACGATCAGCATTAAGACATAACTGACCTCATTAGTTTTTTTTATTCATAATTTGATTTGAGTTTGTATACAACTTTTTTTACAACATTCATTTTTAAAAAAATATTTTTCTATGAGGTGTGTTACAGATGCACTTTGCTTGACACATGTTTAAGAAATGCCGGGTTTCTCACGTTAACTTCGAGCAAGTGTTAAATGCGCATTTAAAACGAACCATTGCTCCGGGATTTGAACACACGACACACACTGGTTCAGATCAGTGTTTCCCAACGTGGGGCCCAGAGAGGGGCAGTTTGATAGTTAAGGAGGCAATTCGAAAATTTATTATTTTTCATCATATGTTTTAAAATCTACTTACTTTTTTCGTTAACAATTTCCAAGTAATTTCTTGCTAAAACCTTT